TCCCTATATATATATATGTATGTATGTATGTATATATATATATATATATATATATATATATATATATATATATATATATAAACACACATATATTACTAATTACTCCGTTTCTAGTAATTGTCTTGTTTTTAAAATTGAAATATTAAGCCCAAAGGCCAAAGCCCCAAAAAATATACCTAGCCCAAGTCCCAACCTTATCTTTTGTTTTAATTTTGGGTACTGTATAGTAGGGTAATTCATTCTCTGTTAGTCGACGGAGGCTGCTCATCTTCTGCGATTAACACAAAATTCCAATTCTCCGAAGAAATCTTCCATTTTGTGCGAATTTATCAAAGCCAACGAGTGGCAATCAGTCATCAGCTGCAGCGCAGGTAACTAGTTTTAATGCTTTAGACCGAATTCTCAAAATTATTTTAATGTTTTGAACCAAATCAATCTACATATCTTATTTTGTTGTTTCAGATTATTCTTGTTATTTTATCTATTTCTTGTTTGTTATAAACCAATAAGGCTGCAAATTTTATGTTAATTTAAAAAAAAATTAGTCATTTTTTGTTATCAAATTCCAAGACTAGACAAGATGCTTCAGGAAACAAGCTTCTCCGTGATGTTGGTTTATGGATTTCTCAAAAAAAAAAAGTACTTGACGTTACCAATAAGGCTGCAAATTTTATGTTAATTTAAAAAAAATTAGTCATTTTTTATTATCAACACTATCTGTAACATTAAAATGTCTGCTCAGTTTTAATACCTTAGAGACATGTATGAATTTGGTGTTTTAAAGCCATTCAATGTTTACATGTCAAATCTTTGTTCTTGCAGCCTCGGTTATAAAATATGGACAGAACAATATCCAAGCATTCTAATGAAGCTGCTGGAACAAATACACATCAAGATTCTGATGCGTTTGAGGTGGCATCAACTGATTTTTCATCTACAGATTTGATAAATCAATATAAGTGTTTTAACCTCTTACGTTGGTGGAAACAAAATGCTATCCAATACCCTATATTGGCCTTAATAGCGAAAGACATACTTGCTGTACAGGTATCTACTGTGGCATCTGAGAGTGCTTTTAGCACAGGAGGTAGGGTGATAGATGCATTTAGAAGTTCTTTAAGCCCTCAATCTGTTGAAGCATTGATATGCATGCAAAGTTGGTTGAAAGGTGATGACATCATTACTGATTTTGAGGATGAACCTTGTCCTGAAGAATTCGAATTTTATGAAGACATCGAAGAGGGAACTATTACTTATATTTATTCATAATCTTGTATTTTATATTTCTTTTACATAGTGTTATTAATATCATATAAATGTTTTTGTGTAGAATTAAGGAATACAATGCGTCAGGTCCCTCTTGAAGAAAATTATGAACACATCCATATAGATGGTGATGATGTTGGCAATTTCGGAACACATCAGGTAACAAGTTTTTATGTTTTGGGAGTTTTTGAACTTTTTGTCCACTTGTAGTAATTACAGTGCTAGTATTTAAAGTCTTCATATTTTTTTCTTAAAATTTTGCAGTGATTCAATGGGATCTTTGCTCTTTTTTGGTGGATTTGAATGCTATCAAGTTTTTTTTGGTCAACATGGAATATGAATGCTGCAGCCTGGATTCACTGGAAGACACTTTTGTTTTATGCATAAGCATTCACTGGAAGACACTTGTTTTATGTATAAGCATGCTAGACCCATTCTAATTACTATTGTTTTAAGCATGTGTCAAGTAACTTATTGTACTTGTTGACATTCTTGTAGCATTTATTTTCAATCTTTTTGTTTTCAATTTTCATTATTGTCTGAAAATTAGGAAAAAGTAGGACAATCCGAAACCGTTCCGTTTTATCCCGGTCTCGAAAATTATGGGATAAAGTGGGATAGGCTTGTGGTTCGAACCGTTCCGAACCGTTTGAATATAACGGGACAGGACGTGGGATTGTAAGAAACCCGAACCTTCCCGACCCATGCCCACCCCTAGATTGAAGAAATATTATGTCTGATTTGATAAAGCTCGTCAAATGTTTTCGAGTGATATATACTCCCTCCGTCCCATAAAATATTTCTCTTTTCTGTTTTTATCCGTCCCACATAACATTTCTCATTTCTATTAAAATGTCACTTTTACCCCTTACTTTTTCATACCCTAACTATCACATCATACCTTTTTACTAATAATCTATCCATCAAATCATACTTTTACCCATCACATCAAAGGACATTTTTGGAAATTCAATACCAAAATACACTCTCTTTAAATCTCTCCTAAAAAACAAAAATTTTCCAGGAGTACTTAATTTAAATATTTTTAAATATTGTGTATTTTTTTGTGTTGTTTGTTTTGTTATTTTTTTAAACTTTGCTTTTGGCTTGAGTGGTAGGAAATCCACTCTTCAAAATTTATGGAGAAGTTCACCATGTTCGAGCCCAGCAGAAACAAAAACATTTATTTTTTGTGCATCATTAGGTTGAGAATTGAATAGTATTAGGTGACAATAATATTTAATTTCATCAAATAATAAGTGAAAACACTCAAATTAACAAAAGTTTTTGTGATTTTTAAATAGTTAAGTGTTTAAATGATTTAGGAACAAATGAAGTATGAAGAAGTACTACAGAGTACTTTGTAATAGAGTCAATAGAACTAAAAAATTATGTCAAAATTTTCAAATTAAAATCGCTAGTGAAAGAAAAGTTGACATTTATAGCCGACCCTACCTAGTGAAATAGGGTTTTGTAGTTGTTATTGAAGTATAAATTTTCTTAAATTTGGAGTTTGAAACAATCTTCATACACACATCCTTTTCGGGCTCTATTTTCTTGGGATCTTATTGAATTGTTATTGTTGTTTGGAGTCTCAAGCAATTGTGCCCAATGAACATCCCTACATGGCATATAAAAATTGAAATCTTGTCATTTTAGGAAAAACAAAATATATAAAATGCATAAAAAGGAATAATCTTGTCATTATAGGAAACAAAATAAATGAATTAAATGCATGCAAATTAAAATAAGGTTTTCCTTAGTAGACAATTACTTGCTTTTTTAGGGAATGTAAAAGTGTATATATATGTGTGAAAATATGTCATGTATATGTGTGAAAATGAAACTGATTAACTAGTAGTTCACATTTTTAAAATGTTAAAATCACGTTTTTTTTGTTTTGATAGTTTAGAAAAAAGTCACCCTACACAACCCTCACCTACTCTTTTACTCCGTATTATGTCTTCATGTAATCAGCTAAGCATTAAAAACTACACATGCTACCCCGTAGTACTATTTATTCATAAATTAAATGCGAGGAAACATTACACTATAGTGAAACAAAGACTTTATGCATCTCAGCTATTTTTGACCCGAACGACGTAGAGAGCAATCATTCTATCTATTTGGACAAAGTAATGATGAAAATCGGGACTCCATTCCTTCTATAAATTCAAAGAGTTCGTACTGTTCCCACCCAGGCGCGTCGTTTCTCATAAACATACGAAAAAAGACCTTTTTTAAAAAAAATGAAACTTTTTGTATTCAAATTTGTACCCTAATATGTATATTTTCATTTTGTATCAATGTGATGTTAGGGTAATACAAAATAATAGTGTAAATTTATATTAACACACCATCATTTTGTGTTAGTGTGAATCATCAAAATGTTAATATATACATTTTGTTTTAACTTTGGGTAAACTTTTTGATGTAAGTATAACACGATTGTTTTTTAATTACGAAAACAGCCATTTTATAGTGTGGAATTTGGTACAAGTACTAGGTATTAAAGATGTGAATTAAGCTACCTATACACCAAAGGTTAAACTTTAAATTGCATATCAGAGGTGTAGACTTTCATTTTGTGTTAGTGTGAAGCGGATGTAATATTTACACTGACACAAAATATTTATGTACTATTTTTTTTTGAAATTTTTTCCAAATAATGCTAAAATATAACGACTTTTCTAATGTAGTACAATATATTTTTATTTTCTAATGTAGTATCACTTGTCATTTCCACTAGTCATTACCGCCACTGGACATTGTTCAAACTAAATGTCATCTAAGTTATTACTCCGTACTAGATATTGTTCCCGCTACTAGACATTATTCAAGTACTATGTAAGAAATAGAAAATTTAAGTACTATATTAGGAAATAACATACTCCCTCCATCCCAAAAAGTCTTTCCTGTTTCATTTTTTGCGTATCTCATAAAACACTTCCATTCCGCCTTGAATGCAAAAAAAATTTCAAAATAGCTTCTACCCACAATAAAAAAGAAATGTTGTACTCCCTCTGTTCTCAAAAACACTTCTTCTTTCATATTTTCTACTTCCAACAAAACACTTCCCCTTTTATTAAAAAATCACTTTTACCCTTACTTTTTCATACTCTACCTATCACATCATACTTTTTCTCTAATAATCTATCCATCACATCTTACTTTTATCCATCACATCAGGGGCAAAATTGGAAATCAACTACAATTTAACACTTTCTTATTTTTGCCCCCAAATCAAATGGGAAGGGTTTTTCCAAACGGAGGGAGTAAATTTTAGGCATTTTAGATGTCGATAAAAGTGTTTTATAGAATGCGCAAAAAATGAAACATGAAAGGCTTTTTGGGACAGAGGGAGTATGTTTTAATAGTATTTAGTGCAAATTTCACTTTTTTATTATACTAATATTTTGTACCGGTGTGAAATATCAAATTATAACATCAAATTATCAGAATGTCGATGCATACATTTGGTGTACAACTTAGGTTACACTCATTGGTGTACCCCTAGTATGAGTTCTAAAGATGTTATGTAATAATAATAATAATAATAATGATGATGATGATGATGATGATGATAATAATAATAATAATAATAATAATAATAATAATAATAATAATAATAATAATAATAATAATAATAATAATAATAATAATATCATGATGAGGGGTACATTGTATATATGAGAAATTTACGTGTATATAACAAGAGTGTCATATCCATTCATCCCACAGACACACACACTTCTGCTTAGCTCCATCTTAACTTCTTCCTTAGCTAGCTGTAGTGTGATTTGAGAGGTCACTATTTCTTTGGGTTCTTCTCTCACCATTGCTCGACATGATGACTTCTTCACCATACACAGCCTTTCTTCCTCTGTCACTCTTATTTCTCATCATCTCATCAGCACAAGCGGTCGCTTTGAACACTACAACTACTTCTGATGAGAAGAAAGATCATCATCATGATGACAACAATGTCTACATCGCTTACATGGGCCTTTCTTCTGATGACAATCCTGAATCCACAGAAGATGCACATCTGAAGCTGCTTGAGGACATCATCCTTCGTGGCCCATTGGCTGCAAGGCAATCCATGCTGTATTCCTACAAGCACGGGTTCTCCGGTTTCGCGGCTCGGTTGACCGAGGCTGAAGCTAAGACACTAGCCGGTGCATTTTTATATCTTACATACAACTGGAAATATTACATTCACTAGCTGTTCGTTCATTGTTATCAATATATTCTCGATGATGATTATTATATTACGTACAACAATGCCCGAAGTTGTATATGTTTGGAAGAGCCAGAAGCTTGAGTTGTACACAACAAGAAGTTGGGATTTTTTGGGTCTATCACTTGGAGATGGAGATCAACCACCCTATTATGGCAAAATGGGAGAAGGCTCCATCATCGGACTGATTGACACTGGTATGTACGTACACGATTCATTTACACTAAATAAATAGGGAGTAAATTATAATTAGCGTTCAATTAAAAATATATAGTTAGGGTTCGAGTATGCAGTGGCACATCGTCATTATTTGTTTTGAAGGATATTGAAAATAAAACAACCATGCTACAATTACACCAAGTAGTATAACATAACGTTACATAAAAGATATACAATAAAATTTTGATGGTTCACACTAATACAAAATACTAGGGCGATAAAAGAAAATTACATTAATATTTTTGCGTCTATATTCACCATCACTTAACATATGAGGATGCACGCTTGCAAGGGTACAAATAATTTAATCCAAAATAAAAATACTCCGTATTTGTTTTAAAAGAAAAGTGTACATACGTGGTTGGGAGTAATAATTGTGGCGACACTCGTTTTTTTACCCTTTAACTTTTTCGTATTTATGCCTCAAATAAAGTGGCCTCTTTACACCATGCACATATTAATGAGCCACGAGTAAAAGAGTTTTACTTTTCCAGCTTTCCATAGTCGTCATGGTTTTGAGTTTTAACGCCGTTAAAAACACAAGGTTCAACCAACCCAAATAGTTTGTGAGACGAAAACTGCAGCAGAAGTTTTTACGCCTATGTTTGTCATATGATCAATATAATGTGCCCCTAGAATTCCTACATCTACTGTAAAGTTGGGGCAAAAAAAGACGTAAATTAAAATTGGATTTTTGAAAAGCAATAAAACAAAACGGGAAATTGAGCCTTCAAATAACATACTCCGTAACAAATAGATAAATGCGTCAAAAAGGCCTTAGCTTGTGAGGTTTTGGTTTGTTCTATTTTTTCTCTTGTCAAAAAAAAAAAAGAAGAAAAGAAGGACGTATATATGGTGTATGTGTTTAAGTAATTTCTCGCAGGAGTTTGGCCCGAGTCTCCGAGCTTCAACGATGATAAGATGGGCCCCGTCCCGAAGCGCTGGAGGGGAATATGTGAGAGCGGCGAACAGTTCAACGCCTCGCATTGCAACCGAAAGCTGATCGGGGCCCGGTATTTCTCCCATGGGGCTGGGCCTTCGCCTCCCTCCTTCCTGTCTCCACGCGACTCGGCGGGTCACGGGACCCACACGTCCTCCACTGCCGGGGTTCCGTGGTCACTGGAGTGAGCTTAATGGGCCTCGCCCGAGGAGTGGCCCGTGGAGGTGCCACACAGGCCCGCCTCGCCATGTACAAGGCTTGTTGGACGAGGACTTGCGATGAGTCGGACATCCTCAAAGCATTCGACATGGCGATCCACGACGGAGTGGATATCATCAGCATCTCTGCCGGAAGACGTATCCCGCTGTTCCCCAACGGCGCCCGTGATCGTCACACCGATCCCATCTCGCTGGGATCCTACCACGCGGTGGCCCGCGGGATCACGGTGGTCGCGTCGGCGGGGAACGCGGGCCCCGATTCGTACTCGGTCGTCAATGTTGCCCCATGGCTCATCACCGTAGGCGCGTGCACCACGGATCGCCGCTTCTTAGCCAGAATCTCTCTTCTTGGAGACAATTCAACCCTGTGGGTACGTCTCATATATCCATCTTATCTAAGTTTGATACTTTTTTTCTCTTTTTAAATATACTTTCTAACACTAACTGTGGGCGTTTGATTTGATCAATATAGGGGGCAGTCGTGGTCAGCAGGAGAGGGCTTGAACACCTTTGAGGAAATCATCCATCCAGAATCTAAGGGCTTTGGCAGCAATGTGTAAGTCATCATATCTCCTCTAATTAATTTGACAGCTTTACAATTACTCCCATCCCATGCCATCATCAATGTATGTAATGCATTTTATTTTGTTTTGGTTTGATCATAATTAAGTTGCCTGGGAGAGAGAGGCAATGGCACAGCCACCGGGGGTAAAATCGTACTCTGCTTCAAGATAAAGACCGATCCATTTCAGAGCATGTCCTCCGCATCAAATGCAGTGGCCCAAGCGGGTGGAGTAGGGTTGATATACGCCCAGACTCGAGACGACTATCATGGCTTCTGCTCAATCCCCTGTATCAAAGTCGATATTGAGGTGGGGACGCGTATCCTCGCCTATATTAAGCAATCCAGGTAAGGAAAAGAAATCACATGCAAGAAACAAAGGAGAAGAAAAAAAACCTATGGTTGTGCTTCATATGTCCATTATATTCTTTCGCAAATATATTTACCTAAAAATAAGTGAACAAATTAAACTAAAATAAATAGGGAGTTACGTACATTATTATTATTATTATTATTGCAGGACCCCTATGGCCAAGTTGGGTGCACCCTACAATTTCATCGGCACGGTGGCCTCGCCGAGGGTGGCTTTTTTCTCATCACGGGGCCCTAATTCGTTTTCTCCACATGTTCTCAAGGTTAATTAATTAGAACGTACTCTTTATTCAATAAAAATTTAATTGAATGAATTACTTAGACAAGTTGAATTGCTGAAATGTGTAGCATTTTTGTTACGTTGTAGCCTGATATAGTGGCTCCTGGAGTTGATATTTTGGCGGCATTCCCCTCCTCGGCACATGGAGTCCCCATGTACCATTTAGAGTCGGGGACGTCCATGTCCGCACCTCATGTCGCCGGCATCGTGTCCCTCTTGAAGGTTGAGCACCCAGACTGGTCACCCGGGGCCATTCGTTCCGCTCTTGTAACCACCGGTTAGTAAATAAAACTATTAATTTCGATGTAATTTGTTGCATGTTGTAAAATTAATCAACTTCTTTTAGTGCATCCCAATCGTTAAATTTCAGAGTTTAATTATATATTCCGTATTATATGTATTTCTTTTCCCTTTCCGCAGCATGGTCATCTCAAACGGACGGGGATGAGATCGGAGACGGAGGAGTCATGGACGACAAGGTTGCGGATATGTTCGACATTGGTGGAGGGGTGGTCAACCCGATAGGGTCTTTAGACCCAGGTCTAATTTTCAACACTAGCATGGAGGACTACCGCCTGACACCGGACCAGGACCACCTCATGAACCTACCATACATCATCGTTCCACACCTAGGGACAACAGAAATAGCAGTGACTCGGACAGTCACAAATGTTGGTCCTAACAAGTCTGTCTACCAGCTGCAAACGGTGAAGGCTCCCTTTGGGACGGCAATGAAGGTTGAACCAAGGACTTTAGAGTTCAATAATGACACAAAGACAGCAACGTTTCGGGTGACCTTTGTCCGAACCACCAAGTTCCAGAGAGGATTCAGCTTCGGAGCCCTCACTTGGAGTGACGACGGACATCATCATCGTGTTCGAATCCCCGTGGCTGTACGTGTCATTAATTTTGGGGTGTTCGGAGATGTATGAAGTATATATGGAGAGTATCTTTGTGATGAAGAAGAATGGTATAGCTACAAGAATGTATACTTAAATGGGACGGAGAAAAGAGACGGAAAAGAAATCCGTCTCTTTTAAGTCCCTAAAATTGTTTGTCTCATTTAAGTCCCTAAAATTGTTTGTCTCTTATCCCTCTCACAACTGCAACCTTTAGGACTTAAGACAGAAAAGAGAGACAGATTTCTGTCTCTAAAGAATTCTGTCCAAACGAATGGGCATAGAGACGGATTTCCGTCTCTAAATATATGTTTAGACAATGAGACAAATATAGGAACTGATATTAGTCTCATCATTTAATTCTTTGCCCCTAATTCGTTGCCCCTCTCATCATACATTTAATACTTTCCTCGTCTTATATCTTTCTTCCTGTTGCGCAAAACAAATCCTAATTTTTTTCAATCTATTTTATTTAAATATTGGTATAGAAATAAAAAAACGTACATATTTAAAAACTACATCAAAAGTTAAACAAAACAAGTGATAACAAGAATATTTTATTTTATTCCATTATATTTAAAAACTAACATTCTTTAATGAACAACATATATGTTTCTTTTTTTTAAATTAAAATTCATAGAAATATAATTTGGAGAGCTTAAAACTCTTGTCACTAAACTACAATTTTGCATATGTGAAGAATATTATATTATGACATTTTACTACTCAACTACTTTCATTCCAAAATTACAAGTCACATTTTGACCTTATATATATTAAGAGAATGTTAAAAATGACATTGACTTATCCTCTTAGGAAAATGCTATTTATACTCCAAGAAATTATACCCCATTTTGTATACCGCATGGATGCATCAATATTTTGTGTTGGTGTAATGCTAATTTTTGTTAACGCACCAACACTTGTATCATTGTAAATTTTTGTTAATGCACCAACATTTTGTGTCAAACCATCAAAATTTTAGTACATACCTTCGGTGTACAAATGGGGTACAAATTTTGGAGTACATGTAGCATGCTCCATCCTTTTATCCTTGGTATAAACATGATTGAAATAGGAGAAATTGTTTAATGAAATTGGAAAAAAATTTCTGATAGTTGTTTGTTGAATAAATTTAAAAAATACGGAGTATGTATTATAATTTCATCATTACTCTTAATTAAGTTTAATAAAGTTTGGATAATAATTTAATTAGTGTAACATGTAATTTCTAGAATATTTCTATATAATACGGAGTAGTTGGTTATTTAATAAATTTTAAAAGAAAGCATTAACATTTTTAATACATAAAAAAGTGATGAATTTTGTTTTTAAAATTATAAATAGTGAGTTTCTAGGATAGATATTTCTATTGGTTAATCATTAACTAAATATTTAAAATAAAATATCATAGTTTAATTACCCTTTATAAAGTTTGTGTTATAATTTTATAAGAACGTATAAGGAGTGAATTTCTATAAGGTAGTGTTTGGCAACTAGCATTTCATTTCAATTCATATATTTTAATTCCATAATTTGAAATCCTGAATTTCAAATGACAAAAGGAGGTGCATGGATTTCAAATTAAGCTTTGTTTTGAATGTAAATAATTTGATTCAAATCCAAATTCAAAATGCTTAAATTTCTCAAAATGGAATTAAGCCAAATCCGAATTTGAAATCCAAATCCATGTTCTCAAACATACCATTATTTCTAATAGTTGTTTCATTCATATGTATTTAAAATGAGATGTTATTTTATAATTTTATATATAATACGGAGTACTCTGTATAGTTTTATTATACTTGATAAAGTGCACATTATATACTCCACATTAAGTATAATAAACTACGTAATAATAAAATAAAATATTATTACAATTTATATAAGAAATGCCATAATTTTGTTGTACATAGTATAATGAGATCGGAAATTAGAATACGGATCTCAATAGGGTGCTCAATACCCAGTATGTTATAATAAATTCAATTAAATGAGTTATGAAAGAAAGGGCAACATGGTCAATATTGACAAGAAATATTAAATGTGGAGTGTAACTAGTAAATATGGAGTGTATATATCAATAATAATAATAATAATAATAATAATAATTATTATTATTATTATTATGGGAGGAATCCTAATTATGTCAAGATTTATTCCTTGAGAAAATACAATATTCTATTACTCAACAATATTAAAAAAAAACAAATAGATATACAAATTATTTTCAAAAACAAATGGGGTACTATATACTTCATCCGTTCTATAAAGATGTTTTCATTTTGACTTTTAAGAAATTTAAGGATGAGACATTTTTGTGTTGGCTTTCCAAAAATACTTTTGATGTGATGAAAAAAGTAAGATATGATTAGTAGATTATATGTAAAAAGCTAAGATATGATGTAATATATAGTTTAAAAATTAAATGGCTAAAAGTAATTTTTTAATAGAAAAAAGAAAGAGTTTGTGGGACGACAAGAAAAAAAGAAAGAGGAAATTTTTTTAGGAGGGAGGCAATATACATCAAGTAACATATACGTAGTATAATCTTAGCTTTTGATTATAGGAGACGACATAAATAAATTTAAAGCATCCGTTTGCAAAAAATTTAATGCATGCAAAATACGTTAGGTTTTCCATCTCGACACACTTAAAAGTGTGTGTCTATATGTGTTACACAGTATATATATCTGTGTGTGGCTTGTAAACATCGAAAAGGAAGAGTGAAGAAGATCGGAATATACATACAATATATATCTACGTAACGATTCAAATAGATATATAGATATGGCCAAGGAGGCATTGTACGTCCTCGCGGTTTTGCTCATCTTCCAATTCGCGTCTTCCTGTTAGTGAATAATCATCTGCCCCTCCTTTATAGCTATAAGAAACAAGATATTGTTGTTGTTGTTGTTATTGTTATTTACTTCTTTATTCTATTTTTTATATAATTGTTTTTTATTTTTTATAATTATTATTGTAGGTACTGCAGCAGCAGGGGCATTGTCACCAAGGGGGATTATGAAAGGAGAAGGGGGTTTTGGAATGCGATGTGATTATGATGATCACAAGTGTCCCCTACAAGGGTGTAAAAACGCACTAGGTAATACGGGTGCCTTAGGTTGCGTGGATGGTTTTTGCGAGTGCATTGCGTTACCCAGGCAATGCGATTATGATCAGAATTGTCCCCCAGAAGACTGTCCTATAAAAGGCAGTGCCACAGCTTGCATGGGTGGTTATTGCGTCTGCATGTAGTAAAACTATTGGTAATTACAAAAAGAAAGGAGAAAAATAATGTTGTTATATTTATACTCATTTTTAAATAAAATTTACTCTTTCTATGGGCTCTAATCAACGATTGATCTTTCTTAGATTTCCTAAAAGTCAGAATGAAAACATCTTATTAGACGGAGAAAATGTTATATATTTTAGTGTAATTGGAAAAACTACTACCAATGGTATCCTAATAATCATCAAAGAAGTTTGGTGGTGCGGAGTGCACGCTTCGTTGAGTTTGTTAGGATAAAAATCCTGTTACATCGGGGGTTCCAAGGGGGCAGCGCCCCATTGGCGGGGGTTCGGGGGCAGCGCCCCTGAGCAGGGTTCAAGGGGCGGCAGCCCCTGCGGGGTCCAAGGGGTCCAAGGCGCTATGTTAAAAAATTCAATTGGAATTTTATATTTCGAATTTTCTTTAAAAGTAAATTCTTAAGGATAGCTTTGTTTTCCAAGGGGTTTTTCCGCCGAAGAGTTGCGTGCCTTGATGTATGAAGTATGGAGAGTATATATCTTTATGATGAAGAAGAAGAAGGGTATAGCTAGACATGGATCGTTTGTTGGGGTTTTGATATTTATGGAAGGAATTTATTTGTTTTGTTACAAAACACGCTCTGGATTAATAGGTTTTGTGCAAGTTAAACCCAATCTTGGGGGGATGTCATGTCTCCATTAAGACTCCGGCCTTGATCATAATGAAGAAATAATAATGCATGGTTCAACTCGCCTAGTGAAATCTACTTTCCACTTCCTATCAATCTTTCGAGGCTATTAACTCTTTTAATTTGTATTTCGTAAATCTTTCGTGTCATTAGTTTTTTAAAAGAAAAGTGTACTATACTGAGAACAAAACTAGATAGAAGTCACCAACTGAACTTTCAAAGTTTCAAACTGAACACACTTAGAGAGTACAAATTGCCACTATCTAGCAAGAAATTGGAATTGTCCTTCAAAATCATCGACTACATGCTACTCCCTCTGTCCCAAAAAGTGTTTCCCGTTTCATTTTTTGCGCATCCTATAAAACACTCCTATCGACATCTAAAATGCCTAAAATTTACAACATTTCTTCTTTATTGTGGGTAGAAGCTATTTTGAATTTTTTTTTTCATTCAAGGCGGGATGGAAGTGTTTTATGAGATACACAAAAAATGAAACAGGAAAGACTTTTTGGGACGGAGGGAGTAAAACATAAAGTGTTGCTTGAATTTTAAACACAGTATAGAATGTTACAGGACTATAATTATAATTATAATTATAATTATAATTATAATTATAATTATAATTATAATTATAATTATAATTATAATTATAATTATAATTATAATTATAATTATAATTATAATTATAATTATAATTATAATTATATTATGGGAGGAATCTTAATTATGTCAGGATTCATTCCTTGAGAAAATACAATATTCTATTATTCAACAATATTAAAAAAACAAAAAAACAAATAGAAATAAGAATTATTTTTAAAAACAAATGGGCTACTATATACTTCCTCCGTTCCATAAAGATGTTTCCATTTTGACTTTTAAGAAATTTAAGGATGAGATATTTTGTGTTGGCTTTCCAAAAATACCTTTGATGTGATGAGTAAAAGTAAGATGTGATTAGTTGATTACATGTAAAAAGATATGATGTAATATATAGGTTAAAAATTAATATGGCTAAAAGTGATTTTTTAATAGAAAAAGGAAAGAGTTTGTGGGACAAGAAAAAAAGAAAAAGGAAATTTTTTTTAGGAGGGAGGCAATATACATCAAGTAACATATAGGAGTATAATCTTAGCTTTTGATTATAGGAGACGACATAAATAAATTTAATGCATCCGTTTGCAAAAAATTTAATGCATGCAAAATACGTTTTCCATCTCGACACACTAAAAATTGTGTGTCTATGTGTGTATACACAGTATATATATATATATATATATATATATATATATATATATATATATATATATATATATATATATATATATATATATATATATATATATATATATATATATTAAATACGGAATTTATATTGATAATAATCAAAGGATGTTTACAGCAATGTG